TAGCAACCCCATATAGGGTTTCCCATATTCTTGCTAGGAGAGGCTGATGGATTTGAACTGCTGACCTCGCAGTTAGCAGCCCCATGTTCGACTATTACCATTATCCCCTTCCAAATTTTCCCATCACTCTTCACTGAAGCTCAGAGACACGTAAACAATGAGCCCAGTCTCGTGTTCCTTTCCACCAGCCCCCTGGGAACCACTAATACATTTGCTCTCCCCACCTTTTTCTGTTCTACAGATTGCACATGTTGTTGTAAGTGCTGTTGAGTCTGTTCTAACTCACAGCAACCCTGTATGAGGTTCTGAGCAGCAGCAGCTGGTGGGTCTGAACTGCTCACCTTGCAGACCAGTCCTTTTCTTACTGACTTACTCGACTCAGCTAAAACAAATATTTTCATCTGTGAGACAAAGTTCTATCTCTCTGATGGCATGTAGATTTATAGCCTTTCAGAATAATGAAGACATTCTGGTGAGTGTAACAGTTAAGAAATGAGATCACATTCTGAGGGGAAAGGCTGGGTATTTAAAATTCTTTTATCAACTAACGTCTGGCCTAGGACCAGGAAGATATTGTTAATAACATTAAGAACAGCAACATTACCTTCTGAGGTATTGAAGTTAGCATCTTAGCATTACCCTAAGTACAGACTTCCAGACAGAGACTTGAGTTTCCCAATCATTGTCAAATGAGGGTGCCTGCCTCCAAAACAAATTTGATTGCATATTATATTGCTCTCTCAGTCTTGTGTTTCAGTAATGGTGTTGTTCTGTGCCAAGTGGATTACAGCTCGTAGCCATTACACATGACAGAGTAGAACTGCCTCATAGGGTCTTCTACGCTATCATCTTTACCTAAGCACATTGCGTTGTTTTTTTTCCCTCCATGGAGGCTCTTGAACCACCAACCTTTTAGTAAGCAGCCCCGTACTTAACCATTGTGCTAACAGGGTTCCTTCTTTCACGGTACAAGTCTGCGTTTACCAGGTGACACACACTGATAGATAGGTGTGGACTGAAGTCACTGTTGAGTAAGTCTGTGATCTGTATCTTTCAACAGACTGGAAAGAAAAAAAAGTTTCAGGAAGAAAGAAAATCAAGTCACAAAATCTCTCACACCCAAATTGTTTTAAATTATTGAGGAAGACAAAGGTTCTATTAAAAAGTTCAAGGAAATCAACTCTAAACGTTGTAGAAATGATATTTGCTGTGGGTCAGAGTCTAGATTTAGTGACTAATAGAAAATGGAAATACTTAAGTATGAATAAGTAAACGCGTTTTTAATCAGGATTGCTAAATCCTTTCAGAAGTTTCAAAATGGCTTGAATTGATGTAGACATAATTCACCTTTTACCTGCCTGGGTGATTTATCCTTATTTGTCAGTACAGTGTGTACACGGGTATGTGCTCTTTAAATTAATCCATATAGCACAGAGCTGTGGTGTACTTCTAACATCTTTACCCGCAACTGACTTCTACTAATAAATAGTATTTTTAATGAGTGGTGGTGCTTTATTTATTTCATAAAATAAAACTAAGTATTTTTATGAAAACTCTCAACCCATTTCTTCAGGGATATATTTATAAGAAGAGTACCACTGAAGCATGGTTTCAGGAAAGCAGACAGCCTAAACTTTAGTGGGATAGGAAAGAGAAACAAAAAACACCCTACCACTATAGAATAATCATCCTACAATACTGTCCACCAAGTAGACAATTTTCTAAAACTGCTCTTTGAAGTAAGAGAATGAAAATGATCCATCTGATGCCAATTTACTGTAGCACCTTCGAGATACGTGACAGAAGACAAATGCTACCCATTTGCAATCTACCAAGCACTCTGCTTGTTTCATGCGTAAGATCTGATTAAAACATAAAAACAGAGCTAACTGGAGACATCTAGGTTATTCTTTTGAGATGTGAGGCATGATAAGTAACTATGTTGCTGTTGTTGACAGGTGCCGTCGAGTCGGTTCCCACTCATAGTGACCCTGATATAGGGTTTCCCGGGAGCCGCTGATGGGTTTGAACCACCAACCTTTCAGTTAGCAGTCCAGCGCTTATACTACAGAGCTACACAAAGGCTCTGCTGTAACTATAGTTACTTTCATAAAGAATTTAAGTCATTTGGCCACGTCTTTTCTTTAAACATGTGCACTTCACTATCGCCCCCTTTTGGATTGACTGGTTTTTAGGCCCGATGTTTCTCTTTCTTACTCACACTAACCCTGCTGTTTCTGCCATTGTCCCTGAACACAGCAATGGTCCCAGAGAGCCAGGGCTCCAACACAGGAAGAGGTGGTTCCCTCTAGTTTTCCACTGTTCCTCTGAGTTCCCTCTGATTTCCCACAAAGCTAAGAGTAAGAGAGATGACACAGAAGTTTCCATACCAATGGCAGATGGAGGTAGAACTTGCCTTGGTAGTCCCTCATCCATCGCATATGCTGCTTCCTGCGTCACTAGATGGAGGCCCGGGACCAGGTCACTACACTGTCACTGATGTGGCTGAACCTCACAGAAGCCTGCCTGTGCCCAGAACGTGAGTCCAGGGTGCAACAAAGCAGAGAAGGGACTGAATCTCTGGGCCAGCACAGGCAGTTCATGGTATCCAAGTGCACTGGATCATGTGCCTGTGTTAGTGTGGGTAGGGCTGGGTGGGGGGGAGCCGATCTTGAGCCTGGTCTTCCCCCTCCTTTACCTCTGACTTTTCCCTCTTCTCAGTGTGTCTCTATCCCATTCAGCTTTTGCTCTGCACTGATGACAGCCCGGTAGGAAATGTTATTATTAGGTGACATCAAGTCAGTTTTCATAGCACCCCTTGTATAGGGTTTCTAAGGAGAGGTTGGTGAGTTTGAACCGCTGATCTTACGGTTCAAACGGATCTTGCGGTCCAGTGCTTATCCTACGGTGGCATGCCAGGGCATAGTGCCCACCAGTGTTTACATTGTGATGGCAGTCCCTGAGCAAAAAAAAAAAAAAAGTTTGCATCCCTTCTTTTTAAAAAAAATTTTCTTTAGGGAAAAAACCATGAGAACCCACATAGTTCGTCACGCCTCATTTCTTTCTCTGGGGTGAATGCTTCTACCTTAAAAGGATTTCCTTTGGCTCTCACTGCAAACTATTTCAGGTTTTGTTTTCAATAGCATTGTTTTCCTCTTGTAATAGGATTTTTTACATTCTTCTTTGTATGGTGACCTTCCCAAAGGAGGGACAGTCTCATTTATCTTTGCATCTGCTCCAGTGATCAGCAAAGGACTGTAGCCGCCACCAAGGAGGTGCTAATAGGACTCTGTCATTGTTAAATGCTAGTTTACATCTCTCTAGTCGATTGTAGTGCAAAGATGCCATATTTCATCTCTGACTTTTTGTGGCCCCTTGAACCATGATCCACACTTATTGTTATAGTGTGCCATCAAATTGATTCCAAACCATAGTGACCCTACAGCAGAGAGTAGGAACTGCCCAGTTAGGGTTTCTAGGCTTTACTCCTTATAGAAGCAGATCTCCAGGTCTTTTCTCCCACAGAGCTGCTGGTGGCTTTGAACCACTGACTTTTGGGTTAACAGCCAAGCATTTAACCGTTGTGCCACAAGAGCGCTCACTGAGCTATACATGGCAGGTGTACCTATCTGTACATTGCCAAGACAAAGGCAACCTTCCCTTCTCTAACTGCTGTTGTTAGGTACCGTCTGCTTAGTTATGATTCATAGCGACCCTATGCATGGTCCTGCGCCAACCTCACAAACGTTGCCACACTTGAGCCCATTGCTGCTGCCACTGTGCCGGTCCATCTCGCTGGGGTCTTCCTCTTTTCACTGACCCTCCACTTTACGAAGCAGAATTATCTCATGCTATAGGTCCTAAGTATCAAAGACAAAGTCTCATTATCCTGGCTTCTAAGGAGCATTCTGGCTGGACTCCTTCTAACACAGATTTGTCTGTTTTTCTGGTATTCTATGGTACTTTCAATATTCTTCTCCAACACCATAACTAACCAAACCAAAGTCCACTGCCATCAAGTTGAATCTGACAGTTGGCCTAAATCAGGAGTCGGGAACATCCAGTCTGCGGACTAGATAAAGCCTGAGAAATCATTTGTTCTGGCCCACCAAGGCAACCGCAGTTCCAGCCATCACATTGTTGTTAAGTGCCATTGAGTCGGTTCTGACCCATAAAACCCTGTATAGGGTTTCTGAGGAGCAGCTGGTGAGTTTGAACCACCTACCTTGCGGTTCAAACCAACCTTGCAGTCCAGCACATCACCTTAGGAGTTAGTTAATTGTTTGACCAAATATAGCAGGCTAATTTTTAAGTTGATAATTTTGTATGTCTCGTGAATGTTACAAACGTTGATAGAAAAAAGGATCACCATCTTTGGCCTAAATAATTTTCCTTTTGGAACAGTCAGTGGATGCAAAGCGCTGTGAGGTAGGCTGCCTTGAGTCTGGAGACCTTAATGAGTCTGATTATAATTTGATTAGAGTCCTGATGTGGCACTGTATTTTAAGCACTGGATGGCTAATTACAAGGTTGGCAGTTCTAACCCACCAGCTGTTCCTCAGAAACCTTACATAGGGTCGCTATGAGTCAGAATGCACTTGTTGGCACTTAACAACAACAACAACAACAAGAAACAGCAGTCCTGTTGTGGCGCTGTAGTTCAGCACTGGACTGCTTAAGCATGGGGTCGGTCGGTGGTTCAAACCCACCAGCCACTCCTTTGAAAACCCTATACAGAGTTGCTATGAGTTGGAACCAATTCAACGGCACTTTAACAACTACTGTGTTTGCTTAGGATCCCCTCTTTCCTTTCAAGATTCTAGGGAGAAATAGTAAAGCAATGGCTATAAAAATACTTTGAAAAAATGTCTAAAGCATTATACAGACACAAAGTTATTGACTTCCTTTACAAGTTCCAATTGCAAAAGCTGAGAGTGGGCATTTAGTGAGTGTTGTTGGCCGGTGGTGTTAAGTACTGTTTACTTGCCACTGTCTCACAGGTATGAATTAGGAGCTGCTCTGTTCATTGGATGGGCAGGAGCCTCGCTCTGCATAATTGGCGGTGTCATCTTTTGCTTCTCAATCTCTGACAACAACAAAACACCCAGGTATGAAAACAAAAATGACCTGTTAGGAAAATACAGCACTGTTTTAAAATATGACATGTAGAGGAAATGACATAGTTCCTAAGATTCTTAGAAAACTCAAAACTCCAGAAATGGAAACTGTTAGGAATATAGTTAAGATAAAGGAAAAAACAAAACAACAGCATATCATTATTATATTCTAAAGCTGTTTTGTGAGTCGAAAATTCATTTGAAAGTCTGAATGTATTTCTACTGAAGATCATCTGTGAGGGGGGATGAGCCCTAAAAAAGTAATCCCCCAAATTAATGAACACATTAAAAACATAGGTCTTCAGGTAAAGGTGTATTCAGTCCCTGTGTGGTGAGATGGTTAGAGTCCCTGCAATAGTGCCTCAGAAGAAGGACCTGGCAATGCATTTCCAAAAAAAAATCAGCCATCAGAAACCCTGTGGGGTACAGTTCTACTCTGACACACCTGGGGTCACCATGAGACAGAATCTAGACAGCATCTGGGTTGGGTTTTTTAAAAAAATTCTTCGCTATGGCCATATCACAATTTCACAGAGACAGATATTGATGAAGGTTACTACTAAGTTCCCTGGGTTTCAGGAAAGTAAGTTTTGAAGATGAATGACGGACCACATGAACAATCCCTGGGTTTCTTCTGCAGAGATTTTATCACTTAAACTAGAAAGGGCAATGAAATCTGTCTTGGGCTTAGGGAAAGGAAGACAGTTTAACTAAAAGTAATCAGGGGTCCATTGAGACTTCTCTGTTTAGAGAATTTGAGGAAATGGGTTTCTCCCCTTTTTGTTTGCCCTGTATGCAAAAGATAATGACCCACTGGTTTTATTTTTTTGCCTTTCAGAATGGGATATGCTTACAATGGGGCCACATCAGTCATGTCTTCTAGAACAAAATACCACGAAGGAGATTTTAAAACCACAAACCCTTCAAAACAGTTTGATAAAAATGCTTATGTCTAACAGAGCGCCACTGCAAGCTACATCGAGTTGGTTATTAAAAGGGAACTGTTCACAAAATGATTCCATCAAGGTCCTCCTATCATTAACACCCCAAAACGATTTTTTAAATATGAATTGGAAGAATTTATTGATTGTGTGGATGTAAATGTTCTTACTCAGTTGTATATGAATCATTTTCTGTCGTGGCTTTCTATAAAAAAATAAACAGGTTATTTACAGGATTTGTATACATATATTTTTTATACACTTATAAAACATGTGTTTAGTACCAGAATTTCAAGCTTTCCTGTTCATACACTGAAGTCTTTGCCCTTCTTCTATAAGTTACTTTTCATTCATGTATTAAATGAAAGGTGTATAAGGAGTCGTTGTACTGACTCACAAACACCCTGTCTGTATAGGGTCTCTGAGGCTTCAAATCTTCTTGGAAGCAGAAAAGCCTCATCTTTCTCCCGCAAAGTGGCTGGCGGGCTCAAACTGCAGACTTTGTGGTTTGCAGTCCAGTACTTAACATATGGAGCCACCGTGCTCCACATAAGGAGTGGAGTCTTGTGATCTTATGAGACTGTTCCTCAAAAGGTGTTCAGGTAAATGGATATATTCCTGACTGCATCCAGTCTACCTTGAGTTTCTTACAGGTATGAGAATAAAGGCAGAAGGACAGGGAAACAGGACTAAGGTTTTGCGCCCTTACTTCCCACTCCACTCCTACCTTAAGTTGCTGCTTTAGCTTCTCTAGCCCACAAAGCAGAGTTCTGAGGTAGAACAGGAGCTGAAGCCAGGATGCCAGGAACGGCTGGCTTTGGAACCCAGAAAAGAAATCCTGGAGACCATAGGGCACCTTTCTCATTCAGAATGGTGGGGCTGAGTTCCAGCCTATCTCTCAGGTCCTGTGTATGGAACTTTCTGGATTACTGTGACACCATTATTCCAGGCATGGAAGGTGCTCCAGTGATTTTTGAACAAAGAAAATATATTCCTAGAACCAGTCCTTTTAGACCACGTGCATAGAGGAAACAGTAACCCCAATTCACAGAGCACTGATCCAAATATCTTACACACCTGACCGCTCTGTGCAGTAATCATTATTATTATCTTGAATTTACAGTTGAAGAAATTTAAGCCAGGAGTTTTAGGTAACTTGTTACAGTTACCTAATTTTAGGACTTTGAACACAGGGAGCCTAGTATAAAATACATGGTTTATAAGCTTAGAAGCCAGGATGGTGAGACTTCGTCTTTCATATTTCAGACGTGTTATCAGGAAAGGCCAGTCCCTGGAGAAGGACAGTATGCTTGGTAAAGTGGAGGGTCAGTTAAAAAAAAAAAAGAGGAAGACCGCCCAAAGAAACGGATTGGCACAGTGGCAGCAGCAATGGGCTCACGTGTAGCAACATAAGGGAGGATGGTGCAGATGGGGCAGTGTTTCATTCTGTTGTGAACAAGGTCAGAACTGACTCCATAGCACGTAACAACAGCAATAAAGTTTTAGGTAGGACTTGGTATCTATCTTATTTACGACCAAGAACTTTCTAATATGAGTCACAATATGGGTAACTACAATAAGGCTTAAAAGGAAATCACATTGTTTTCTGTGAGAAGAAAAAGAAATTGACAAATCTGTTATATTTTTAAAAAATACACACAAAACTGTAACCTAATAGTTGAAATGTCTTATCCAAAGATACAAGTGGACTGAAAGACATCACAACTGAGCTGAAGAAGTTAATTTATTGAGCAGAAATATAAGGTAATGGTCTAAAGAATAAACCAAATCTATTAAAATTAAATTTAAAAAATATTAGATAGCACTAAAGGATAAAATGAAGACTTACTTGGGTTTACTTAGTAGAAGTTTACCTCATATATCCCCTAACCTTTTCCATTCAAGAATGAAGATATGGCCGACACAGAACTTGGAATAGAGAACCACAAATGAATGTCCCTGGCAAGTTTTTAAATAACTCAGTTTCTCCAGTTTTTGTTGGATAAGAATTTATAACAATAACTACACTTCAAAGTTGTTGTAATTAAATGAACTAAGCATGCATGTTAAGGAGAAAAGGCAGGTAGCTTAAGAAATATCTGTTGAAAGAATGAATCAGTGAGCCAAGTGACCCCTGGACCACCTTAGGCACATGTGTTACTGTTTATCTCTGCCCTACCCTATGAAAATTTAATCTGGTGTTTATTAAACCTTTTGGAAACATACATATAAAGTTAGTATATTTGTATAAAAATGGCTGGAGGAGGAGGAAGAGTCCTGGTGTGGCGCTGTGGGTTAATGTGCTGGACTGCAAAGTCAGTTTGAACCTCAAGGTTGGTTCAAGCTCACGAGCCGCTCCTTGGAAACCCTATACAGGGTTGCTATGTGTCGGAACCGACTTGATGGCACATAACAACAATTAAAAAAGCTGGACGAATTTCTTGGGAGTAGGGAAGTTGTTGTAGTGCCGTAGAGTCAGTTCTGACTCATACGGCCCTGTTATAGGGTTTCCAAGGCTTTAACTCTTCGAGGGAGTAAAAGGTCTCATCTTTCTCCAGAGGAGCAGCTGGCGGGCTTAAACTGTGGACCCTTGTGGTTCGCAGTCCAGTTCTTGGTAGGGATATGCTACAAATAAAAAGGATCCTAGAAGGGGGAGAAACAGATAAAGATTCATTCTCACATTAGTTCAGGATGTTGTATGGCATGAATACCAAGGCAAGATTGTCCTTTAGTACAGATCCTAATTAATTTAACTCAGAAACAAATTTGCCAACGCTTAGCCAGAATCACCTCTAATAACTCAGCCAAAGTCACAGTGATGTAAGGTGGGCTTTACTCAATAGGTTTGCAAAATAAAGAGATTCTAAACCCAACATGTGTTACTTTTCATTAAAATGTCACTTTTGGGGAGGAAACAGTACAGATAGTAACACAAAGTATAAAAATGAAAAAAAGTTGATACAAATTTCCTGACCTTGACAATGTCACTGTTCAAGCACATAACTAAATCAGTTCTGAGGTATCTCAAATATGGGTAGGACATAAAAAAAAAAAAACTACAGACATATGAATTTGGTAGTGATTCCAGCTTTTCTATTGATATTCAGCTAAACTAATTGGCCATAAAGTCACTACATTTCATTCATAAAATATCCAAAGTAAAGATCGTTCTGCTTGAACTAGTTTTAAAATAATCATTTTAATCGCAACATGCTAACAACAGCTCAGTGCTGCACATGAGGACAGTACCCTAGAAAAAAACGTGCTGAAAGGCAGATCTCGCTAAACTGTGACCCTTCTAAACTTCCTTTTCCATGGGGAAAAAAAGATCGACTGAAATTTTCGCTGATTCCACTGATTGAATTTTAAAGATACCAAACAGAATTTTATAACAATTCCAATATGTGAGAACTTATATAAGTAGATATTTTTTTTAAGTTTTCATTCAAACCCAAACCTGCTAGAAGTTTAAAAAAAAAAAAAAGAAAGAAAGAAAAAGTCACTTAAAAATCAGTTTAACAAAAAAAAAAACTTAAGAGCTAGAGTACCAATCTGAAGAAAAAACTTTCTTATGACTTCAAGTAGCAGACGTCTTCAAACCTCTATCTGCTTCAAAATACTGTGGACAGTTTATTTCTCAATACTGTGCGGACGCCATTCGAGAGATCCTGTTACTGAGGGGAATACTGCAGGGCATGATCGTCACAGCCGTGAAAGCAGGTTACTGCCATACTGCGACGCTGAAATACTGCTGGCTTCTGAAAGCACCTTGTGCCATTCATTTGGGATTGTAGTTACACATCTGAAGAGTCGCTCCAATCAGTCACAGTCACTAAGCTGCTTTTTAATGTGCTTGACTCATTTTCTTGAAGGCCTGTGGGAGGAAAGAGAGAGAGAGAGAGGAAGGGGAGACCCCATGATGAAACAAGTACATTGCCAGGTCTGTAAAAATCCGTGGTGTCACATTCTAATCTATGACTCTGTGCAGCTAACCTCATAATGTTGTTGTTGTTGTTAAGTGCCATGGAGTCCATTCCGACCCATAGCAACCCTGTATAGGGTTTCCAAGAAGTAGCTGGTGAACTTGAACCATCGACCTTGCAGTTCAAATGGCTTTGCAGTCTGGTGCATTAACCCACAGTGCCACACCAGGACTCCTCATAATGAGGTGACTATAAAATCGGGCCACAAAGCAGCCGTACTGCTAGGAGACATCACAGGCTCCTTCCCCAGTACTCAGCACAAGGCCAGAAGGGTGAATGTGCTCAGTCCATGTTGTTGTTGTTGTAGTCGTTACTGACCGTATGTGAATAGATGATACAGGAGTGGAGGAGAAATAGGAGGAAGTGCTAATCGATCTTGTAGGGTTGTTGTTGTTGTTATGTGCCGTGGAGTCGGTTCTGACTCATAGTGACCCTGCATAGGGTTTCAGAGGCTGTAAATCTCCTTAGGAAGCTCATTTGAAAACGGCTGTGATTTTAAGCCCTGAAAGAGCGCTGAGTGGAGAATGCCCCTGAGTCTGACTTGAGGAAGGGTCCCTTTGAAGGATGTGGGGTCCTGGCACTGAATGAGGAGATGTGTACCGTGGGCCCTGAGTACTGACCAACTAACATGTAAACATGGTTTTATGGTTTTCAGTGATTAGAATCAACCTGAAGACACAGCACAAACAACTTAATGACGGTGACAGAACAGAAGGTAAATGTCCTAACTTGGCTACTTACATGTAAAAGCACAGCCCATGGGGGGAGTGGTGGGGAGAGGCAGGGATGGCTTCATCTACAAACAGGGGCGGCTGGCAGGGGATGCCAGGAAATGCAGAGATCAGACAGACTTCCAGGCACTCATTTAAAATTGCAAAGAGAAGGGGAAGGAGAGGTGTGGCAGGTGCTGAAAATGAACCGAATCCTCACCAATCTCACCAGGACATCAAAGGGCAATGTCTAAAGTTGATGAATCAAAAAACAGTATCCTTCTGACTAGGGTCACCATTGTTAGTCACAGACAGAATGGGAGAAAAATATGGAGAACTAAAGTTCTTTTGGGGAAAGAAAAAAAAAGCCAGATAAACAGGAACTTCAGAAAGCAAAGGGCTCCCTGGGACTACTGCCCTGAGACGCTCTTTAAATAAAAACTGAGCCTGTCCCCTGAGATCTAAAGCTGAGTGCAGGCATTTTGAGAGCCTTAACTGACCACTGCCTGAGCCCTCCCACACACCTCACTTCACCCCCCTTTTCCTGTTAGTGATCGATCTCTTACCTATATGCTTTGAAAATGTTAATGATCATCTAGGCTGGAATGAAGCCTGGAGTCCTGGTGTGGCGCTGTGGGTTAATGCGCCAGACTGCAAAGCCTTTTAAACTTCAAGGTCGGCAGTTCAAGCCCAATAGCTGCTCCTCGGAAACCCTATACAGGGTCGCTATGGTTTGGAACTGACTCAAGGGCACTGAACAACAGGCTTGAAGCCTAGTTCCCCTTCTGTGGCTTCTAAGAAGAGGAACCACCAGTTCAGGAAGCACTAAACTTTCTGATAGGCTTATGGTCCAGGTGTGCCGCTGTAGGATAAGGAACTTGATTGCAAGGTCAGTTTGAACCTTAAGATCAGCGGTTCAGTCTCATGAGCCACCGCTCAGAAATCCTATGGGGTCGCTATGAGTCATCTGACTCAATGACACTAACAACTACAGCAACATTGGGACAGCTGATCATCTTGTAAACTAGTAATGGAAACCAGAATGATGAGATTGTAGCCCACCCACATGTATAAATATGGCTTCCAAAAGCTGTTTCCTCGGATACCATCCCTCTTTATTACGGGGCTCCCAGGAACCAGCTTCCTGACAATAAAGGCATTTCTCTCTCTTTATCTGTGATGTTTGTGAGTTGGGCTCAATGGCTCCAAAGCATCGAACCTATAGTCATGAGCTGACAAAATCCCTGTTTAACAAAATAACAGCAACACATAAAATAAAAGATATTAACCTAAAGATCAGTACCTTGTGGTGCCATAGGATATGCACTCAACCACAAGGTTGGTTTGAATGGTAAAGTGCAAACTCACCAGCCACTCCTTGAAAATCCTATATAGATAGGGTTGCTATGAGTTGGAACCAACTCAACAGCACTGGACAATAACAGTATCACTGAACAATGTGTGTGGAAACCGTCAAACAGGAAGCTAACTTCCTGGGTACATTTTCACCAAAAACTCCAAGTTCTTTTCAAACAGGGAAGCCAAAAGGAGCCGTGGCATAAGCACCTTGCTCGGAGACGGAAGTGCCCCCCAGGAGCACTAATGCAGAACTGAGGAAAGACAGCGTAGGCGCTGAGAGGGGGCACGGAGCAGCCCTTCTGCACACTCCACTGTGGCCACGTGCAAGAATTACATGGAGCAAACTATTAACATTTCCCCAAAAAACTAACCATATGAAGAGTTAAGTTTCTACATTAGGTAAAAGAAACACACTGGTAGAGCGATGGGTAAGGTCGTGATTGCAAACTGTAAGTCTGGCAGCAGTTCTGTGGAAGAAAGACGTGGCGTTCTATTCCTGTAAACACTGTTGCTGTTGGTGTGAAGTGCCATCGAGTCGGTTCCAACTCACAGCAACCTGTCATAGGGTATCTGAGGAGCAGCTGGTGAGTTTGAACCGCCGACCTTGTGGTTCAAATCAACCTTTCAGCCCATCATGTACACTGCAGAGCCACACCAGGACTCCTGACCATAAAGATGGCAGTCTAGGGAATCCTATAGAGGCAGTTCTACTCTTCTATGGGGTCACTATGAGTCGAAATCAACTCAAAGGCACCCCAACATTATCCCCACAAGAAGGTGCACGGCAACCAACCATCTGAACAAATTGTTTCATTTGCAATTTATTCCATTTGGCTGGTGTGGCGCTGTGGGTTAATGCGCCAGACTGCAAAGCCGTTTGAACTGGCACCAGCTGCTTGGAAACCCTACACAGGGTCGCTATGGGTCGGAATCAACTCGACGGCACTTAACAACAACAACATAATGCTATATGTAAAAGGTTTTCTGAAAAGGTAAGAAAATATTCAACAAATGAATACCACGGGCTTCAAATGTTTGTGGGAAAATGTGGAAAAGATAATTTGGGTACAATTTACAAGGGAAATCTTGTTGGAAAGGTAAGAAACTATTCAACAAATGAATACCAGGGGCTTCAAAAAGTTTGTGGAAAAATAGAACGAAAAGATAATGGAATTTTTCCACAAAGTTTCTGAATCACCCTCGTACATAAAAATTAGAAGAACGGTGTCCTTCAAGAACAAGATTAGATAACTCCATTTCTATGAGGCACCTGCATGAATAGAATATGTGCATGGGTGTTTTCAAAAGTAATTTTTAAATATTTTTAAAGATTAAGCCTAAAATTAAGTAAAAATAATAATAAAAGTCAGAAAGGTGTACATACTTGGCACCTAGTTTTTAAATATCATAAAAAAGTATCAAGCCCTTTGTTATGTCGATAGCATTGTCTGATGATATATTGCATACGTAACGTAGCAGTCAAGATATCAAACGATGTACTGCATTAGGCATATCTGCTGCACAAGGACTAAGGTGAGCCTGACCAAGCAATGGTATGTTCATAGCCTCACATGTATGTGAAAATTGGATAATGAGTAAGGAAGACCGTAGAAGCATTGGTGCATTTGAGTTATGGTGTTGGAGAATATTAAAAAGTACCATGGATTGCCAGAAGAACAAACAAATCTGTGTTCTAAGCAGCCAGAATGCTCCTTAGAAGACCAAGACTTTGTCTCTCATACTTCAGGCATATTATAAGGAGTGACCAGCCCCTGGAGAAGGACATCATGCTTGATAAAGTGACAGGTCAGTCAGTGAAAAAGAGGAAGACCCCTAACGAGATAGACTGGCATAGTGGCAGTAACGGGCTCAAGCATAGCAACGACATTTTGTTCAGTTGTGCCTAAGGTTGTTGTAATGCAGTGCTGATTTGACAGCACCTAACTACAACAACAACAAGGAGCTCTGGTAGTGTAGTGGTTACGAATCGGGCTGCTAACCTCAGGGTCAGCAGTTCGAAACTACCAGCTTTTCCACGGGAGAAAGATGAGGCTATCTGCTCCTGTAAACATTTACAGCCTCTGAAAGCCTCTACAGGGTCACTATGAGTCAAAACTGACTCTATGACACATAACAACAACAACATCAGCTCTCTCGTAACTGACACATGACCTGTCATTTTTTTGACTTGTGTGACATAAATAGTGCACACGTCGTTTAACAAAAAGCTCTGGATTCCATGTTGTTGTTGTTGTCGATTCTGACCCACAGCGACCCTGTATAGGGTTTCTGAGGAGCAGCTGGTGAGCCTGAACCACTGACCAAGCAGTTCAAACGGCTTTGCAGTCTGGCACCTTAACCCACAGTGCCACACCAGGACTCCCTGGATTCCACAGAGGAAAAAAAAATTAACTGAATTTATGTGAAAAAAAGGTAAGAGTGAGTACCACTAAAAGACCCTGTCAACACATATAAGCTACAACAGCAAAGTATGAATTTATGAAGAGAAAATAAAATACAAAGAACTGGGATATGGACTGAGCTTTTATAAAACACAAGTGCAGCCAACCTTCTCCCTTCAGCACAGTAAGATTTGATGCACCCCAGGCATTTGTTATGTGGATAGAATTTGGTTCATTCTTCACAACTGGACGTTCCTTCCTTTCTTTCTCCACGTTCTTCCCCACAGACTTTTCTTCCTCTGAGGATGAGATGTCCCAGTCATCATCATCCACATCTGCACACTAGAAGAAAGACACGGAAAATAAAGCTTCTTCACAAAAAAAAGCATGAGTTTGAACTCTGAAGTATTTTGTTGGTTTGACTTAGCATCAGAAACCGAAATAAGTTGGGAACCTCCAAAGGACCCTAAGTCTGGAAGTCCATGTTTTGAAAGCTGAGGGAACCACCACATTTCCATTTCTTGCCATGGAAATGAATGCTTCCTGTTCTACCAATCACGATTTTAGAAAATTCAAAAAAACTACATTGTAATCATCTGAAAGACAGGCTGTACCCCAAGCAGGATCTGGGGCAGCTCCACGGCTCTTCAACCTCTGTGATAACAGACCACCTAACCATAGGATAAATCACAGAAGGTTCTGGAAACAGACTTTAATGTTTCTTCCTTTCCACAGGAAGGAACACCAGCTGTAGAAAGAAACATCAGTTCTCTCTTAACTGACACATGACCTTTAGTCATTTTTTGACTTGTGTGATATAAATAGTGTTAAAGAATAAAAGCCGTTTAACAACAAGCTCTGGATTCCATACAGGAATGAAAATTTAACTGAATTTATGTGAAAAAAAGGTGAGAGTGAGTACCACTGGAAGACCCTGCCAACACATATGAGCTACGCCCAAAATACAACATGAACTTTGTGAAGCCCCCCCCACCACATACTAAGTATTATGAGTTCTTGCTCTAATATCTTTGATGGATAGGAAAAATGCAATACTTATAACAATTTCAAGGTAAAAATCTGTTTCTACCATATTAAATATTTACATCGGTTTTTAATTTCACTATGAAAAATATAATTATTAACATGCATTTGCATTCATAAAAAGATTAATTTATCCATGTATTGTTGTTGTTGTTGTTAAGTGCCTTTGAGTCGGTTCTGACCCATAGAGACCATGTATAGGGTTTCTGAGGATAGGTTTTCTGAGGAGGCGCTGATGAGCTTGAACTGCTAACCTTGCAGTTCAAAGAGACTTTGCAGTCCAGCGCATTAACCACAGTGCCACACCAGGATTCCATGTATACTAAGCAAGAAAAAGCGATTTTACCTTTAGTTCTTCTTGTAATTCTTTTTTGATGAACGCCTCAGCAACATTAATTCCACCAACCGGTTTATTAACATTTCTGTTATTTGACACTGTTCTTTCAACTTTTTCAGTTAGTGTTTTAATAGATGTTCCTACAGGACAATAAAAATGAGTCAGTGAACTTTGAAAAAAAAAATGTATGCAATAAAATTTTACTCAAAGGCAAAAAAAAATGTCAGTAAAGCGTTTTTCATTTTTTACCCATCTTTAGGTCTACAATAAGCTTAACAGCCAACTTAGAAAGAGTCTAAGTTTTGTAAATCCAAATGTATTATTACAATAAAATCAATGGGCATGTTTTGGGGTTGAGAACAAAGTTACACTGAACACTTATTCTTTCTTAAAACTCATAATCCTTCAGACTTTGAACTATAAAAAAGATTTTAAGTCAAAGAAAAATAGCCTCATAGAAGTATGTGATCAGAGACTTTCATTTCTTGGGTTAGCCTGCATGAATAGAATATTCATGGGAGTAGTTTTAAAAACAATATTTATACTGCAGCCCTCAATGCTTCACACTGAGGTGTGAAACCTAGAAAGGATTTCTTTGTAATTCGGTCAGGAATACCCCAAGCACAAGACAACCTTAGTTATCTCTCTAAATAGTGTCTTTCCTAAATCTGAGCTTCACAGCTTTAAACCAGTGCTTCCTGGCTGCTCATACACAAACCAGTTCCCCATGGTACTGAATCTGTGGGTGTGGGGGTCAGAGTATTTTCATTCCTATAGAAGAGGTCCTAGAGGAAACCAGAAAACCAACCAAACCCTCTGCCACTGAGTCAATGCCAACTCACAACAACCCCACAGCGTAAAGGACAACTGCTCCGTAAGAGTTTCCAAGACTGGCAATATTTTCAGAAGCACGTAGCCTCATCTTTCTCCCACGCAGCAGCTGGTGGGTTTGAACCACGTGTTCTTACAGTTAAGATCCTCGATGCTTAGCCAGGGCTCCTTAAACACTGACCAGCTTTGGTGAAGGCCCTCAGCAGAATGTGGCTCAAGTCACTATGTGCAAGATGCTGGAGAGGAGTTTTGGGTCAATGAGAAGCAAAGTCTTAGCTCTTAATATCTCCCCAAAGGCTCAGAGACACAAACATCAAACTCGTTCTAACAGGATATGCTGTGGTTAACAGCTGTGAAAGAGGACAACAGAGCAGGAGAAGTGAGGGACAGATTCAGGAAGAGACTGGGGTAGGCCTGTGGAGAAGAAAAGGGTTGAGGGCCAAGGGAGATCCGACTATGCGGAAAAAACATAGTAAAACTCCCACCAACTGTCCTAAATACTGACGGGGCTCTCCTGGGACGAAGTGTTCCCACACCAAAATAAAACCGCTTAGTTGCTGTTGAGTTGGTTCAAACTCACGGCGACCCCCATGTGTTATATAATATAACGATTCCAGAGGGTTTTCTTGGTTATAATCTTTATGGAAACAGATTTTCAGGCCTTTCCTCCATGGTGCTGCCAACTTGGTTAGGAATGATTGGTAGTATTATTCAACAGAGGTCCGCTCATTCTTCCACAGTCCAATGTGAAGGGGGCCCTATCATTCATTCTCCACCATGGTTCTCAGATCTCCTCCTCTCCTCCATCTCAGCATTCCCCCTCTACGTCTCTTTGGGTCCTGTTACTAATCACTCCTCACTTCATGTACTGAACACACTGACGACACCACTTGGCCTTCTTCTGCTGCCCGAGTCCATCTTCTTAGGCAATTCAGTGTCAGGCCTACAGCTGCTGGGGTTCAAGGGAAAAGTAGAATTGGACATAGACATTCGGGAATCCTCAGTGTATGGGCAGTAGGGAAGAGGGAGTAAATCCAAGCCAGAGCCTCTCTTACCTGTGTCTATGGTCCTGTGTAGGTGTCGCCCTTGCGCAGCACGTTCCCTCCTTCTCATTAAAAACACCCAACCTTGATCTCATCTATCAACTACACCTTACTTATAGGTCAACTATGGCCCCGAAGTCACTCTTACCACAAGCATGCGCACAAGCTCTATTTCTGTCATGATTCTTCTATTTCGTGGAGAAAAAGGAAACTTACCCAATCTCCTATAGGATCACACTTCCATCTCAATTGGCCTTTCATTGATGAACACTCATGCCTCTCACATCTTTAGAAGCAAGTAGCTTCCACTGCTCCATGTAATCCTGGCCCTCTCTCTTCCTGTCATGCTGACCTCTAGAATGGGCTGTCCTCACTTTCTGTGTCTGTGTCTTCCATCTCCATCTCACCACCCCACTGAAACCTCTTAACAAATCCTACAGGACTTCTTCGTCCTCATCTGACTTCATCTTTAGCCACATACAACCTTGTTGACCATTTTCTCCAACCCTCCTTTCCATGGTAAGTGCTTGACCACTACACCACTAGGGATCCATCTTGCTCAAGAGACCCATCTTAAACACATGAACTAAAAATCTTTGACATTTACTTTTCTTCAAAATGGAAAAACAAAAAACAACTATAACCATTATGAATTATTTCATTGATCTTTATGATCTGAACTCAAAAGTTTCTCCCAAGTGGCATTACTGACATTTTGAGACAGGTAAGTCTTTACTGTGGGGGCTGACCCGTGCACTGTAGGATGTTGAGCAGTGGTACCCTCCCACTTGAGACAATTTCAATTATTCTCTGTAAACTGGTTGACTCCCAATTCTAGGTATCTAGCCAATGCCAACTGTCTATGAGGGGCAGGGTGGGTTGGCGCACAATCACACACACTAAGAACCAGAAACACTGTCCTAAATAAAGTTTAAAATGTTTTTCATTGAAGAAATGTCACCTGCAGGCTTAGGAGAAACATCAGAGTCCTCAATTTCACTTCCTTCTGTCCAGTCAGTGTCACTTTTGGCAGTGTTTTTCCCAAAGCTACTCTTGGTGTTTTTATTCGGCTGCAGAGGAAGCAAGTCTGGGGATGTATACGCCTGTACAAGGTGGTCATCATCCAATTCCTCCTCAGAACTAAAGGGGGGAGTCCTAAACAAATTAAAACCAAAACAGGTGGCGCTATTTCCATCACTGTAAGTATTAACAAATTATGCCTCCTAAAGGGGTCAGACTTCCACAGGTCACCCCGACACAGCACGACAAAGAGTGACATGCCCATGGATAGAATGGCAGTGGGGTCAGGAGTTACGCAAAAGGTGAGTTATTCCAGATCTGCCAATCTTGAGGCATATTTATCCAAATGTATTGACGCTATAGTTCCACTCTAAATCCAAATTTACGTATCCATCATATTCTTGGTTTGTACCCACCGAAGAAAAATTTATCAAGGAAAGAAAAACAATTTTCCTCACTAAAACGATTCCAACTTTTTAAACTGTTATTACTTGCAATTTGCATCTCTACTGCATCTTAAAAAGAACTTATATACATACACAATCTCATTTGATTTTTTAAATTACCAGGTAAGATATGTATTATCACTTCCTTTTAAGATACACAGAAGTTTACAGGAGTAATCAAAACAAACTCACTGCTGTCCCATCAATTCTGGGGCAACTCCGTGGAGCAGAATGGAACCGTCCCGACGGTTTCCAAGGCTGTAAATCGTTACAGAAGCAGACTGCCATGGCTTTCTCCTGCGGAGCGGCTGATGAATTCAAACTGCCTACCTTTCAGTACCCACTGTACCACCAGGGATCCTCTATAGGGGTATTCATTTATTCAATAAATATTGATATTTATGAGAGACGGTGTCAGGCTTTTAAATGTTGATGCATTTATACTATGCTCCATGAAATGAAGTTCCAAGGACATTGATTTTGTTGTTAAGTGCCGTCGAGTCGGTTCCGACCCATAGCGACCCTGTACAGGGTTTCCGAGGGTGTAAATCCTTACGGGAGTAGAAAGCCTCATCTTTCTCCTGCAGAGCGGCTGGTAGTTTCGAACCGCTGACCTTACGGTTCACAGCCCGATTTGTAACCACTATGCTACCAGAGCTCCAAGGACATTAGGTGCATGAAAAGTACTTTTGAAGGATAAAATATTTATAACATCAATGCCTCAATGGAGAAATACTTATGGCAGCGATATTTTCAGAATAAAGCAGTCATGATGAAATTTAACTGTGATAAAGTTTATTTGTAACCAATGACAATAATATGCCTACAATTTATTGAGTACTCACTAAGTACTAGGCCAATTTGTAGAAGTAGGCTGAGATACAAGCAGTTTTATCTCCATATTACAGAGAGGAAAACTGAGACTTAAGACAGGTAAACAACAGAATCAACAGCACACTGAGCTAAAATGCTTAGTATCTTAAAAGAATCTAAGAGAATAGCTTAGAACTCTAAAGTATTATCTGGAATAAATCTACATTACCATGGATCCAGGCTTGAAAACCCAACAGCATGTAATTTTCACATTTATTGAGAAATTACTGGACTTTGGGGCAGGGTACAGAAATGACAGAGGTGTGCTTAGTGGAAGCCACAATGTGATGAGCCACAATGCTAATGACGTAAGAAATTACAGCTATAAAGCCATGTCACAAAGAGCATACTACATAGTTAGAAGTCACAAATTTGTAACATCGAATAATTATAGCTTTGTTGTTGGTTAAGTGCTTTGGAGTTGGTTCTGACTCACAGTGACCCTGTATAGGGTTTCCAGGGTGGGTTTGAACAGCTGACCTTGCAGTTAGCAGTCCAGTGCTGATACTACAGCGACACACCAGGAGTCCTTTGGCTAACCACAATAAACATGCTCATTTACAGTGAACGGAATATTCACTGAAACGATTGCTTTAAATTACCTTCCCCTACCCAAGTACTACCAGCCGCTCCGCGGGAGAAAGATGAGGCTTTCTACTCCCGTAAAGATTTACACCCTCGGAAACCCTTACTGGGTCGCTATGGGTCGGAACCGACTCGATGGCACTTAACAACAACAACAACAACCCAAGTACTCACGTAATAGTTGGAGGCTTTCTGGGAAAATTATCTTCTACATTTTTCCTGATTCTAAAAAAACAACAGAAAACTATTTCTAAGCTGTCTGATTTAATAATATAACATAACGTTCTATGTAAGTGGTCATTTTTGCTTCTAATGCGTATTAACGAGGGAGAGCAACAACAAAAATCTCTTGGCCTATCAACATGAGACTGGTAGGAATTCCTCATGTCATTCTCTGCTGGGTCAAGCATAAGAAGAGAATTTCAGGTTAAAAATACTCACTTTGGAGCAGATGTCCTATCAGTAAAAACAGGTTTTTGTCTAACCAGATTTCTGCTTTTCCGAGGAAGTTGTACAGCTTTGGGAATTTCTCCAGTTGAAAGGGAATCCATCTGAGCAGCAATGTACTTATCTGCAAGAGTCGTATCATTCATGAGTCTCACTGCCTTTGTGAGCAGTCAGTGAGAAGCAAAAGCAATCATGCAATACTGTACAACTGCTGTGGGAACAAACAAGCACGTCTCTGAAGTTCAAAGTCAAGACTACAGACTTTAAATATCTATAAATGTAAAAACAAAATCAGAAGGCCGTACAGGTATGTAGGCCTTGATGTCCACTGGGACAACTTGCAAGTGCACAGAGGTCTGTTGTTTAGTTTTTGAAGAGAAAGTGGTTCTCCTTTTGCTGACTTTCCCCTAATAGTTTTAAAGATCCTCAGCCCCAGACTCTTGCAGCACTGGACCAGGGGTGGGCCAGAAGCAGGTGAGGCAGAGGGCATTGGCTCTCAGGTTTTGTTCTGCAGGCAGGCAGACAGACGGAAGAGACAGGGCTGTGGTTCCAGGCTGCTCCTGCTGCTCAGGCCGACAGACCAGCATCATTCCCTCCTCACTGACCCTGTCTGCTCCTGCTCCAACCTGCTCAGTCACCACGGCTGTTGCCTTCTATTCCTCCAACCTCCACCAGCAGTTCCAGCAGCAATGGTGGCAGCCACAGGACAAGCAGATGCAAGCTCTCATAAGATTTTAATATGGTGATCGTGGCACGTCCAAATCACTTACCATCTTAGTTCACAGAACATAGTGTGAAAAGTAAGTGACACACACCTGTACCTAAGAGTTCAAGCCGTAAAGGAGTTGCCAATTAAACACAACTCACTTTTTATGTAAATTAATCTAAAATTTTGGAAAGGTTGTTAAATGTCGAATTTCACTCCCATCTGCAGAGCTGAGATGGAAGTTGGTAACAGGCCTACCTGAAAACTGTAATGTTCTCTCCTCAATTTTACAGCTAACTTCATGTTCAAGGACTTCTCGAATTTGCTGAATGTTAGGTAATTGTCGTTCTCTCTCATGTCTCACCGATTCCACAGTTCTCAGCACTCTATTCAAGTGATCGCTTGGAATACCACGTATCTCCTAAAGAAACGAAAGGTTAACTTAATCCAGTATCATGGGTGGCTTTCATTTCATGGGTACACGTCAATATTAACTAGGCAAGTCTTTCAGCCCATCCTTCCTGAGCTCCAGCTGTATGTCAGGTAGAAGAAACCCCAACATATAACACACAGCTGTGAGTCAAAAGGACTCATAAGGCATGTGTATGACCTTCGATGGCTGGTCAGCCAATGCAAAGCTGAGTGTGATGTGGACCCAAGAAGTTCACAAGGGCTGGAGGAGGTCCCAGGAGAGAGGTCCCAGGAGACTCCAGAGGCCAGGGGAGGCTTTAAGGGGAGGCTAGCGTTGTGTTCTAAAGAATGATAGGACCAATAAAATAGAAACAAGGGGGGCATTTCCAGATGGGTAGGGATACCTTGTCAATGCAATGGTGCAAATGGTTTACAATCATCTACTAACCCACTCAGACAGTATTTAACTGTTCTAACTAATGTATGTAGTTTATGTTTTTTACTTTTTTTGTAGGGCACTAAGAGACAAATTCATGAGTTTGGAAGTCAAACAACTCTACCATTCGAACTCTATTAACTTAGACAAATTATTTAGCTTGTCTAAATTTTGTTTCTTCATATAAATAATAATAGTAATGTTGTTCTTGTTGTTATTTAGTGCCGTCTACTCAGTTCCGACTCATAGCCACCCTGCTTAGGGTTTCTGAGGAGTGGCTGGTGGTTTGAACCACCAACCTCGCAGTCCAGTGTTTATCCTACAGCGGCACACCAGGACTCCAATAATAGTAACTGTACCTATTCTAAGGGTGGACTCCTGGTGTGGTGCTGTAGGATCAGCACTGGACTCCTAATCACAAGGTCAGCGGTTCAAACCCACCTGTAGCTCCTCAGAAATCCTATATAGGGTCTGACGCGATGGCACGTAACGACAACAACAACATTATAAGAGTAAGGAGCACTGGTGGCTCTGTAGGATCAGCACTGGACTGCTAACCACAAAGTTGGCAGTTTAAACCCACAAGTATCTCCATGAGAGAGAGATGAGGCTTTCTGTTTCCAAAAAGATTTAGCCTTGAAAACCCTATCTATATATACAGGGTCACAATGAGTCGGAACTGACTCGACAGCACGTAACAACAACAACACTAACTTAAAGATTGGCAGTTTAAGTCCACCTAGCAGCACCTGGCAATCTGCTTCCATAAAAATTACAGCCAGGAACGATGAAGCACAGTTCTACCCTGTAACGCCATGGGTCGGAATGGACTCGATGGCAGTAAGTTGTCAATGTTAAAAAGAATGGTGTGAAAAGGTGCCCATAACAAAATGCAGTTAAGGTCACTGGACTGTACATGTGAAAGCTGTTGAAATAGTCATTGTTTTATTACATAGTTGCCACAACAACACACAAAAAATGTAAAAAAAAAAAGACAACAGAGGCTGCATGGCATCTGGAACACTGAAATTATTCAATCTGGGAGCAATCTGAAATACAATCTTGAGTTGCTAGCTGAATGAAGGCCGCATTTGAACTGCCTGAATACAGATCCTGGAACCTTCATGACCTTCAGTCACTACTTAACCTCGATGGAAAGTAGAGAAGTTACTACTAACTACTATTTCTCGTGGAGATTTGTTTTGAGTTTTAAGTGAGTTAAGATTTGACAAGCCTCTTAGGAAGGTGCCTGGCTCACAGTGAACATCCTCCCAATAATGTGATGGCTAAATCAAGTCATATTAGCCTCTGGTCACCAAATGTACTTTCTCCTCTTCTCTGGCCATCTTTTATTTGGAAAACGAAGGAAGACAAAACTAGCAAGTATTCAACTAAATCAGTCAATAAATACAAAGACTGCACTTACTGCATCAATCCCCAAGGTCTCCAGTTTCTCCACCAAACTCTGTTCTAAAACTGCTCTTATTTCCTTAGTGAGGGAAGGATTATTCCTCAAAGCTTTCCTTAAATGTATCTTCTTGTTAGTTAATCTCTGCTCATTCTCTCTTCCTGAAATAAGGGGGGAGGGAGAATATGCTAAAAATGAATTTTAAGAAATACATATTTAAATCTCTAAACAGATAATGGTAAAATAAATAGCAATAAGCATCTGTAATGTTCTTTTGGTTTGTTTTTTTTTTGTTAAGTTCCGACCCACAGAGACCCTGTGTAGGGTTTCTGAGGAGCAGCTGGTGAGCTTGAACCACCAACCTTGCTGTTCAAACCGACCCTGCAGTCCAGTACACGAACCCAGAGGTTTGAACACTTAGCTCTGGGATACTTTAGTCATGTGACATAATATATACTGATTGAGTAGTATGAGTTATAGCTCAACATAAAGAAAACAAAAATCCTCACAATTGGACCAATTAATGACCTCATGATAAACAGTTTCAGTGTTTTTACAGATTCTTTTTCATCATTTCACTGAATTAGAACTCGATTACTAATACAAGAAGATAAATGCAGCTGTAGACACATAAAGATAAAAGAAAAAACTTATTTGAAAGTTTAATGTTTGATCGCTAAAAAACACTTCACTATTTCTTTATGAATTCATCTCTCCTAGGTCCAGTTAGTGTTTATGTATCCTTTTATGCAGAAAAGGTCTTATTCATTTTAAATAAATTTAAAATTGTATGTAGTGAATAAAAAAGTTCATACAAAATTTCACACTATGAAAATTATTACCCCGACTTCACAATATTTCACCAAAATATAAACGAGATCAAAGAGAGAGAGTCTTAGGGAAAGTATATTTTGTCTAAACCACCCAAATGTAAAAAACAAAACACACACTTTAAAAAAAATAATAATATTCTCTCTTTTCCTTCTGTATTCCTCCCTGATGCCCCACCAAAAAAAACTGTCTACTTTCAAAGAATTTACAGAAGGATGATCTCATGACCTTTTATAATATCTAGTTTAAAAGAGTTCAGAGAAGGGAAATCTAGTGGTCTTTGAAAGACTGAGTGTTTGGGTCAAAGGAAACTAGGAGCTACATACAGCCTTCAATATGGAGTTGCATCTCAACATAAAGAAAACAAATATCCACACAATGGGACCAAAAGCAGCATCAAGAGAAGCAGAAAGTACTGACATCAAGGATTTCATTTTACTTCGATCCACAATCAGTGCTCATGGATCCTATAGTTCAGAAAGCAAACAACGAATTAACTACATTGGGCAAATCAGCTGAAAAAGATCTCTTTAAAGTGTTCAAAAGCAAAGACGTTACTTTGAGGACTAAGGTGTGACTGATCCAATCAATGGCATCTAAAAACACCTCAAGTGCATGTGAAAGCTGGACAATGAATAAAGAAGATCAGAGAAGAACTGATGCATTTGAATTACGATGTTGGTGGAAAATACTAAATAAACCATGCACTGCCAGAACAAGCGAATCTGCCTTAGAAGTACAGCCAGAATGCTTCTTAGAAGAGATGAAGTCGAGACTTCATCTTACTTTTTAGACATGTTATCAGAAGGGACCAGTCCCTGGAAACAGATCATCATGCTTAATTAAGTAAAGGGTCAGGGAAAAAGAGAAAGATCCTAAGCAAGATGGATTGACGGTGGTGGGCGTGTGCCGTGAGTCAGTTCCAACTCATAGCGACCCTGCAAAGGGTTTCCAAGGCTGTAAATCTTTACGGGAGCAGAAAGCCTCATCTTTCTCTGGCAGAACGACTGGCACTTTCAAACTGCTGACCATGAGGTTAGCAGCCCAATTCATAACCAATGCACTACCAGATCTCCTTGGATTGGCAGTAGCTGTAACCATTAGTTCAAATATATCAACCACTGTAAGACAACTGCAGAACAGAGCAGCATTTCATCCTATTGTACATAAGGTTGCAATAAGTTAGAACCGACTCGACGGCACCTACCATGAACAGTGACACTTGGTAGAGTTCAGACTTTTACTGAATACTAAATCCGAATCTGGTAGAATGTGACGTGTGAAGTATCATTCTGGGTCTAGTCTCGGACCAGGGGAATTACCCAATAAAAATCACATCAAATGCTTTCCCTGAGCCTGGAGCTGCCGGAGTAGCCACAGGTAGGTAAGATCTTCAGGTACCCACAGTATCTTCAGATTTATAAAAGATCTTGAATAAAAATGCCCTTTGTTTATGATGTTTTCTAAACACCACTTCAATAATATTTCTGTCAACTAATAATTAATTTTACTAAAAGCAAACTATGTGGTGCTGTAGGAAAAGCACGGGACTGCTAGCCACAAGGTCGGAGGTTCAAACCCACCAGCCACTCCTTGGAAACCCTATTCAGAGTTGCTATGAGTCAGAATCGACTCAACAGTACTTAACAACAACTCTCAGTACATTGAAAAGAAAATTTTAAAATCATCCAAGATGCAAATTATAATAATTTTATGCAACTGAAGATTGATTGGAGGCAATCTTAAATTTAATATTCTCAGAATTCATACTACCATTTTTCCCACCAATGCTTTCAAATATTCTGAAACCACACACAAAATAGTGCTTTTGGTCTAGGAACTATCAATACATCAGAATTGAGTGGCCTCAATTACTGGTCTCAGCTTCTATTTATCCATTAGGTCTACAACTACAAAAGTACATCAAAGACTCAATGCAAACCCCCTTCCAAGACTAAGACTCAATGGAAATGCACGCTCTGATTGGTGACCACACACATCACCGATGGGGATAAGTGGGGTAAAAGCAGCAATGAAGCGGCAAGCTAAGCCCAACAATGTTCAGTGGACTTCTGTGGACCCAGCTGGGGACCTGGTTGGCAAGCAGTGTGAAGAGACCTGGGGACTCTTGGGCCCAGAGTCAGTGGCATGGCCACGAAGGACTTGAATAGGAGAGTGGAGCTACTGGCTGACAGGAAGAGAGGACATATGCACAGGAGCACCCACACTTGCAGATGATACCCACGTGACCTGGACCAGATGACTAGATGATCGGAGCTCAACCAGGAGAGGAAAGAAGAGGGGATAAAGAAAGAAAGAAAAAAAAAAAAAGAGTTAGCTGATACAGTCTGATGAACTTGACCTATACTTATGGAGCAGCGACTCAAAAGAGGGAACAAATCCTCACAGCAAGAAACATTCACACACACTCCCACACACAGAGTGGACGGAGAAGGGCAGCTTGAACATTGGATACTCAAATGGGGATGGGGGAACTACAAAGGCAAGAAGTGAATGGCTTACAAGCTTTCACGAGGGAACCTAGATTCAGACGGAATGGAGGAAGGCAGAATCTCCACTGAGTAGTATCCAGTCTGTCTAGGCGGGGCTGATGAAATGAAATGTAAATGGATCTCTTGTGATACAATAGTGAATAATTGTTATCAGGACTGCTTGTGAGGGTTGGAATTGTAAAGGTGGACATTTTGTGGCAAGGAGGTGAGTGACTAACTTTTCAACCTAGGAGCAGAGGTCCCTGGGACCATCAAGGGAGAAGAGTGGAGAGCGGGACTCTACCCAGAGAAGCAGTGATGCCTGAGATGGAGGCAGAGACGATGACTTGGAGAGATGGAGCTGTTGGGGACTTTGGACACAGAGAGGGAGAGGGGTTGTGTGCTGACGACCGGGGAGCAGGTTTGTAGTGTACACCCTTTGGCTGGCTGATGATGCATGGAGGGGATTGTAACCATAGCAATGAAATGATAGACAATAGGATGAATGTAAAACTAATGTTCTCCCATGTAAACTATCACATAATTCACAATAAAACATTAAAAAAAAAAAAATGTTGAAACTTACACTCTTGAAAAGGCCAGGACAATTGTACTGAGGAATTTTTTCCCATTTTGACAATGTACCTGCTCATTCTTCGAAGGGTGGCAAGGGCCACCCTATGAGAATTTTGTTGGGAAACCTTACACATCCATCCTACAGCCCTGTTAGTGTCTCTTCAGACTTCTTTTTGTTCCACAAATTAAAAAAAAAATTTTAAAGGAACACATTTTGAGACCCTCAAGGATGCCAAAGCTGTCATTTTGATGTAGTTTAAATTGAAGAACGCAGAGTTCTTCGGGAAAGGGTTAGAGAGATGGAAACACCGCTTACAGAAGCAAATGTTAAGCTGTCGAGTCAGTTCCAACTCATAGAGACCTTGTATAGGGCTTCTGAGGAGGAAAGTGTAGGTTTGAACTGCTGACCTTGTGGTTTGCAGTCTAGTGCTGATCCTACAGCACCACACCAGAAGACCCACAGAAACAAACAGATGGAGAATATGTTGAGTAATAATATCTACACATTTTGATATTTTTGTTTAATAAATGTTTCTACGATTTTATAGTAATACTTTTTGATTTACTCCCTAGATATGGGTTATGAGAAGACAAAGCTCGGAAGTAAAGGTACCATCGTTTCAACAGACACAATCTCCCCACTTTCGTTTACCAATTATGTAGGGATAACTTTTTGGCCTGTATCTCAGATAGAAACAAAACAGCACAGAAGGCTCTCAGCTCTGTCTGCTCCCGGGCATGGGCCACATAAAGTGTTCAAGTGATGCTTGGAATGGCTTAGGCACAGCTTAGAAGAGTTACAAAGCCTTTAGACAACAGTGGTTGGATTTATTTGCTTATTTATCCAGTTCGTGTTTAAGTTCTCACTCCTGATGTCCAGTTCATTTTGATGACCAAGTTCCTCAAATAGGGCAGATTAAGCATTTCCATCTGTTCTCAAATTGACTAGATTTTTGGTGTTTTCCTTGGAAAGCTATTTATGAATAAGTGAGAGATGCTTTATAAGGAAGACTCCTACAAAGATGGGGCTGGCCCACCTAAGCAATAGAGAGAGTACACAGTCCCCTACACACATGGGGTTGCCATGGGTCAGAAGTGACTCAATGGTACTAACAGCAACAGTTAATACAGAATGCGTCTCAGATGGTCTTATATCTTATCTCTGCATCTTCTCTAGAGTCCTGGTGTAGCGCTGTGGGTTAAAGCGCTGGACTGCAAAGTCAGTTTGAACTGCAAGGTCGGTGGTTCAAGCTCACCAGCCG